GGTCAGTTGGTCTTTTAGCCTCACCTTTAAAATTTCTGAAGGTAAAGGACACCGATTGACAGCCATCAACTGAACAATTTGTTCTGAATCATCAGAAGGATGTATGTGATCACAGTTTGTCACAGGTTGGTTGGTTTTTTCAGTATTGGACCTGCTTTGCCAAGTAAGATTTTTAACTAGAATGACTTAATTATGTTACTCTTCAAATAAAGTTGTTCAAATTCAGCATGTGTGGTTTCAAGACATACTGTGAAATCTCTCCACATGCTAGTTCCTGCTTATTTATTAAGATCTCATGCATGTTATGCCTCTAAAATGCTGAGGCCATCTCATTTTAGTTTTTTTCAATTTATACAAAATGTTCAATTTAAAAAGATACAGTGCGCTTTTACCATACAACCTGTTTAATGTTTGCTTCTTTTTAGAGGGTTTGTTTCTGTTTGTTTTATTTTTTTGGTATACAGGTGCCATGATCATCTGGGTGTCTAAGTTAAGTGTGTGTGTGGGGAGGGCAGTAACTGCAAATAAACTAGAAAACTGAACAACCAACTGATCAGCTGCTTCACCTGCTGCTGAAATGAATAACTTTTGATTTTTTGTTTAAAGGGCGGTTTAACTTTCAACCAAATTTGGGCCTACATGCAGTTCACAGTTTTTATTGCTCCACATCCTCTTAGAAAGTAGCTCACACCCCAAAGGAAAAACGGTTTGCCACATTACATAAGTTTGTTTCACACATCACATGTGTCTTAATTTTAATATTTTCAGATTGTAATGTTGTGTGGTTTTGGCTTATGTTTGCTGTAAAGGCAACAAAGAGATTTTGTGTTTAAAATTTGAAAGCATCAGTTACAATTTCTTAGAAAACAGGAAGTTTGCAGGGAGTTGCCAGTATTTCTTCTTTTTGACATAAAATTGCTTTGAGCTTTTCCCTGGCACAGCACATGTAGAAATTATTCTAACATTCAAAAGTGCTTATGTTACTGTCCTTGGAGCTTTGTTTTATTCTGGATACTTTCACCACGCTGAAATCAGTTTTCCTTCCTCCAAGTACGTAACTGAGATTTTCCTTGTGTTGATGAACGTGTGACTGGGCAGGTGCTCCAGTCCTTACTTAAGCAATAATTGCCACAACACTGACAGACTTCTTCACTGCGTAGGAAACTGTAAGATACAGTGCAGGAAAAGCAGGACGTGAGTCGTCAGCTCTGTAGGAAGTCAGAGGTGTAGGCACACTGAACCGTACAATGGCCCTACCCACAGAGCTGCCAACACGTTTGGCCGGTTTGGACGCTGGTAGCAATAGACCCAAACTGATCAGCCACATCAATTTTCAGGTTCTTCGTATGTATTTTTCCCTTTTCCAGCCAACAGTAGTCTACATTGATTGAATCAATCATACCCTCAGAAGATGGTAGTGCTTTAGCTTTCTGTATATATAGGGTTAAAATGCTGCCTTCACAGAAGAGGAGGCCTTCTTGCACTGTGTAACTATAAAATTGTCCACTAAAGTTAAACTTAAAGGTGATTAAAACAGCATTGTCTCTTAAATTATGGAGTTTTAGTACTTTGAGTCTTCAAAGTCACTTGTTCTTTTAATACGATTTTCCATCCCCCCCACTTGTATCTAGTTTCCTCAGAAACAAGAGGCAAAACAGGTGTTAATTTTAAAGAAAACCAGGTGAAACAGGCTGACAGATCCTGTTACCATGGATGCTTGGTGCCTCCCAGGAAACGGCTGAAAGGATTACTCAGACAGTGGAACTGTGAACCACAAACCCCACTGTGATTGCAGTAGTGTTTACCGACTGCATAATCAACAAAAAGAAAGTTATGATTACTGTCTGTTAGGGAACAATTCTTCTCTAAGCAAATAAATTGAAAACCTCTTTGAAATAATCATATTCTAAAATACAGCTTTTGTTGTTACTTCCTAATTTCTGCAATACTGTAATTTACTCTTTTTTTATAACATTGCCTAGCTTCCTTTTCAGCTTCGTTTTTTCCTAGAGCTGGTTTACTATTTTATCAGTGAATTTTCCTGACACAGATGTTACTGATACAACATTAGAAGCCACAAAGTATAATTTTTGCATTTGAAATTTTCACTAAATCTGAAAGTGTACTTCATGTCTTCATATCCATTGTGCAAATAAATACTGGTCTTCACAATCACTTTTCTAGATATCTTCCCCACCTTGTGTTTTTAGAGATTTTTAGCTAGAGCAAAGATGACCCTGGATTTCATTTCCTTACTATCTAAATGTATAAGCTTCAAGTTTAAATAAAAGAACTAATGCCTATTCCGGAAAAAAAAAGTATCTAGACTCAGTAGTTTAGCTTTGCTATCTGTGTAAAGACTGAAGTGTCATAATTCTGGTTTTAAGTGATTTTACCCAATGAAGAAATTCAACCACATGGATTTAAACTGTCATAACTCATTTTAAAGGCAGTCTTTTCAATTGGAAGAGTTTATAACATGACAGGTATTTTTGTATTGTTTTGGACCCCACCTAGGAAAGTCTCCCATGTGACTGGAGCCTGTGAAGCTTATAAACATCTCAGTAATCATCATATTCTTTCAACAGAACAATGAATTTGATTTTGTAGCAATAAGGTGACGTTAAACTTAACTGAGATTTAATAGTAATTGGAAAGCACTAGCTGTATAGCTTGATAAATTTCTTTATTCAAATAGATATGACTTTTACAGAAGAATAAAACATTTGAAGACAAAGGATTCTTTTAGAGGAAATATCTGTATTGGACTAGCTGTGCCAGCCAATGAAATCACACCTTAGCGAACAACCTGAAATTATTTCTGAAAATTATGAATCTGTAGCTTGACAGTTGCAACCACAGGTGTAGCGGTAGACAGAATTACAACCTTTTCTGCATGTTCACCTCACTCGCCACATGGGATACAACCACCTTCAAGAAAATGCAGCCTCACTTTATTCACAATGACTGTTACCTGATGGATTCCTGATGTAAAAAGCGCCCTTTGACTTAGTTTTTTATTTCAGCAATGACAAAGTTCTTAACCCTCACTCTCTTACTTGAAGAGGCAGTAGATTTGTCTAAGATTCCATATTAAGGCACAATTTATGCACAACAAATTGATGCAGTTATACTGCCTATTATAAGATATTTAAACTGTGAAATATCCCTAAAAATCCTTAGGACACAGCAAAAGATTTTCAATATAGTAGAGTGTCAGCTAAGTCAATCCTCGGTTGTGGGGCTGCACGTGCAGTTCTTCCCTTTGCTCTCCAATTCTGCATTAACAACTTTTACATACAAGGTCATACAATTTGTGTGCTAAAGCATAGCTAGTCTTTCATTTGACAGAAGCAACGCATCAGATACTGACTGCTGGAAAATTATTTCAAAAACTATGAATTGTTATTTCTGAAACCCAACTCTTGTTCCCCAAGCTTCACAGGGTTAAACAACAGAAAACATTCTCTTCTAACATCAATGTACAAAAGTGGTTTTGTATGGGTTAAAAACCAGCTATACTTTTTTTACCCTCAATATGTTCTTACACCACAAACCCTGTAATAATACTCTAGAACATTAAGAGAATGAAATTTTAACTTTTTAAAGAGGAAAAAAAAAGACAGGAATTTTTTATTTCAAATTTCCATCCCACCTTTCCAGCATGGTGGCACTGTCATTCCTAGTTCAATGAGGGCATTGCTTACCTATATATAGAGGATTTTGTTGGATGGGGTCTGGTAAAAAAGACCTTGTGTAATTTCCAGTGTCGCAACAGTTTCTCTTGAAAGAGTTCTGCCAATTTTTAATTGCAACTCCTTTACATTTTATGTCACTATCAGGATTTAAAAATTTATTCTAAAACAGCAGCAAAAAATACAACAACAGATAAAAGTAGATTTCTGCTTGTGTGCCATCAGTTAAGCTAATAAAGAATATTCTAACCAAGGCATCTTTTCTACAAGTAATTCTGATTATAAGAATTATTAATAAAATAATTATTGATAAGATTTGCCTTTTGATTAAATTCCATACTAGACACAGATTTAAAATTTAAATATTCTTAGTATTCTATTGCCATAATTTTCTTTCCCTTTGAGCACAACTTTAGTAAATAAAAATATATGCACAAGTATTTACTTCTGGTCTGTCATACTAGTATGTGTATTTCTAACTAATATGAAACATAAAAAGAAAACAAGTATTTTAAGTGTACATAACATATGTAAATAACATCAATACATTTGTTCTTTGTTTCTTAAAAACTCTTTGCTTAATTTAAAAAAAAAAAGTTTTATAAATATATTTTAGCTTCCAGTGAACGTGTAAGGGGGACAACTGCCAAAGATGAATGTATTAGAAAATAGAATTTTATAATCTAGGTATTCAAACTTATCTATAACAAAACATTGATAAACATCTTTATACTGCTATTAAAGCACAATAACTAATGGATGAAAAAAATCATCTAAGCACTTTTTGAATTTTTCTTTTGCTATAAAAAATTAAAAAAGGGGACACAATGTCTGAAACAGCCACAGCATTCCAGTCATTCTAAAAACAGGTTGCAGTGGCTATCAATAAAGTAATTCTATCATTTTGTATTTGAAAGTGTGTTTATGGATTTCAGTTTGTTATCAATATTTTGATCATGTGCAGATAAGTTGCTTACTTCCTTTACAAGGCATCTGTTTACACAGTTGACTGACATATGTCTGAATTGTCTGACAACATTATTCTTATTTAAAAAAAGACATGGCTGTCTACGAAATTAGGACTTTTTTGTCTTTGGATTCTCAGATTACTTTTTCTTTGTATTATCAACAAAGTTGTATAGAAATCCTTTTCATGTTCTCATTTTACAGTTTTCAAAGTCCAAGTAATTGCCTTTCAGGAGGAATCAACAGCTATCTTTCTGCCCTTCGATAATCAAGGTTACATCAGTATTAACCCCCAGAGTGTTATTTTAAGCACTAGAAAGTACAGAGGAAAACACCTCATCAGAATGGGTTAAGTCGTATACCTGTTCCTAGTGGTGAAAAAGGATTCACTTTGGCCCACATCAAAGCATCATTCAGTGAAATAGCAGATTTCCCATCTTCAAGGAAGAACACTGGACCCTGTGTAGCAAAAAGATTTGGGGAGGGAAAGAAAAAGTACACAGGTATTGAGTAAGGGCCACCACAACAGGGACCACACTTTGTTTCATGTCCAAGAAGGACATGATGACCCGATTTACAACTATCAGTCATCTACATTCATGCAAAAATTGTACCCTCCGAACTTAAAGCTTTAATAATAGTTACACATTATAAATTAAGTGAACTTGTTATGTTCCAAAATCTGGAGACCCAACATTGCAGAATCCTTACATTTTTAGCTTGATTTTTAATAATTTTTGTATTTTACATATGTTTGTCAATTATTCGAGAGGTAAATTCAGACTATATTTGAGTCTGAGGTAACAAGTTTTTTCCCTTCAGAATACCGTACATATTTCATTGTGTGTCATTATCTGTGCTGACCCATCTGTGTTTCCCCATCGACAAAACAAACAATATAATGCCTCCATAAATTGTTCAAAAACATGGGAGTCTGTGTGTAGTCTAGAGAATAATTTCAAGTGTTTGCTATGAAAAGCATAAAGGACAAAACATTAATTTATCTGATGGAACAAGAGCTATTTGCCAATGTCTTCATTTGACAAAATATGATCTCAAAACTGCAATTCAGTTTAAGTGCCTTCTTAAAGAGTCATGCTCTCTGAACCCGCTACTTAAAACTTGTAAACTCAAGTAATTAGCTTTTTTTGCTATCTCCAGTTTCTGATGCAAAATTATCCCTTTTAGTCCCTGAACAACCGTGTTACTCTTTGGGCTGACAAAGGGAACAGACTTAGCCTTATATAAAAGAGTAAATTCACACTGAGGCATTGTCTCGAGACAGGAGCCTGAGTTGTGTTTTCAGGCTCTGTCAATTTTGCCTTTATGGAAATAACCACATAAACCAAAGAGGTGTTGTAAGGACTAACATGTTTTGGTCATAACGCTCTGTGTGAGTGATTAATACATATATTTGAATATAGTCTTGTAATATCTGGTTTTGGTTAATCACGAATAACAAGTTTTATAGCATGCATTTCCATAATGATAAATACCAAAAGTAAAATGTTAGTTTGTGGTTGAAGATACATAATTTCCTGGTTTTTATTCAAGCTGTGGTGAGGTAGTAGGCCGTAAGTTACATGCACTTTAAACAGAACATCTGGCAAAAGAAATCTGTCTTTCCCATGGGAACTAAAACATTTTGGACAGGGAAGCTGACCAATTACTCAATTGGACAAATCTTTTTTACATAGCCTTTCTTATATAGCAGATGTCACCACTTATCCTCTAACTTCTGCTACTGTGACAACAAGGAAAACATTTTTCCTCCCAAATGATGGGAAGGACCTTCAATTTATGTCAACCTCACAACTAGTCAATGAGAAAGAACACCCCAGCTCTCTGAAGCCATACCTGTATCCTTAGCCCTGTCAAACAAGAGAGGTGAACATCCGAATGACTGGGAAGATTTGATCCAGTGACGTAGTCTGGCCCAACCATTCCTTTCAGAGGCTCCTCTTGTATTCGTGATGTGATTGTTGAATACACCATTCTCTGTGATTCAGATGGTGGAGTGCATGGCAATTCATCGGTAAGACTATGAACAAAAGACACTTGTTTTGCAACTATGCATCTCAATTTGTGTTAGAAACTAAGAGCCACAAAATACTTAGTTTTTACATCCATATTCAGATTTTACAAAGGAAATAAATACTGTATTTACAACTAAATACTTAAATATTAATAGCCCCATTCATGGTAATTTTATATTTTTACCACCTACTTGTTAAATTGAGTACAAGCTCTCCATGCATCCAGTTCCTTAGAAAGTTGTTCAATTTTTAAAGGTACAGATACTTCCCGTCTTTTTAAAAGCTGACTGAAAAGGAATGCAAATAATTAAAGTCCAAATTTATTCTAACAATGAATATTTTTCTAAAAGAAAAGCAAGATAGATAGTAGTAATCTAGAACTATTTCTGATTGGATATGGAAATAACTTTATGGAAATAAATCAACCCTTCATGATAATCTCTATGTTCAACCTCAGAAATATTAAATGACTAGATATAAAAATATATATTTTCACTAAAGTTTGATTTTAATTATCCTTATTTACACCTTCTTATTTAAGCTTGTTTTTAGTTACCACTTTTTTCTTTATATGTTAAGGCCGTATGAATTTTTATTTCTTAATAATTACAACTTTACTAAAATTAAGGGTCTATTTTGCCTATATATAGTATATATGACATAAGTAACTTGGTTCAAGACATGCTGTGGTACAATTACTTGAGAAAGAAATACTAAAGTTTTACATATAAATCTATTTTATTTACTGATTAAGATACTGATCTTAATCTTTCTTCTTTCCAGTCCAAGATGGTCCGTTCAAGTGCAAGTGGGCAAGTGAGCACAGCTTACCAAGTCAAGTGTACCAAGTGAAATCAAGTGGGTCAGGTTAAGTAGCATCATGTGGGTTGAGCCAAGCTGGATTGGGCCGGGTTAAACCAAGTCTGGTCAAGTCAAGTGGGCTGGGCAAAGTCAAGACAAGTCTGGTCACATCAAGTGGGCCAAGTAGGATCATGTGAAATGAGTGGAGTTAAGTCAAGTCAACTGGGTCAGGATGAGCTGGTTCAAATCAGTCAAGTTTAGTCAAGTGGGCCTAGTCAGGTCAGGTCAAGTGATTGGTTGGGACTGAGTGGATCAAGTGGGCCAGGTCAAGTGTATTAATTCCTGGGAAAATTAAGAGACGGTAAAGCCAGGTTTCTTGGTGGGAATCAAGGTAGTGCACAGTCATGACCTGGCAAATGGTCTACACACAGATGAAAAATCAGAACTGCTACTGTCAACATATAATCACGCATGGAGGTAATGCTAAATACTCATCTACTTCCAAAAACTTCTAAAACTAAGAGTTTGACTGAAGTTCTGGATTTGTAACTTGTTACATCACCTCGGAAGCATTGATGTGTATAATGCATAAAGAAAGTAGAGAAGGTTCTATATGCAGAACTGAGAACTCAGATTTTTTTGGTTTTTTTTTTTGAGGGGAAAGTGGGGACAGTGTTTGGCATACATCATAATGGGGGCTGAGATTTCTCAGTGTTACTAAAAACATAATATTACCTTGTATACTCATAAAGTGCAGGTACAATGCTATTGTACTGTCTTCTGATGGCAAGTAAAGCACCAATGTAACCACACAAAATCAGCAATTCATTCCGAAATCTATAAATAGATAAGTAATAATCATGAACAATAACAAGCATTTACAAAATCACTGAACAAATTAATTTTCAATTTATCATTTTAAAATCTAACTTATCCATCCATCTTTTGTGGAGAATATATGTTTGCTGATTATGCTTACTTTCTGTGTGATGTAATTGTTAAAACAGACACCACCTGCTTTATATTGATCTTAATATTAAGTTTTAAATAGAATGTACAACACAGTTACTAAGCACAATCATGTAAAGTTACAAAAACAATGTCACTCAGTTCTTTTAATGTGATAAAACTCTAAATGTAAATAAAATCATCCCACATATTAGTGTGGACTTCAGTTTTGCCAACTTTCCCCACAGGCCACAGGTAGGAGTTAAGCTTTTTGCCTGCAGGCACTCAGGCCTAGGTGCAGTCACCTGTCATAACGGCGAACCACAGCTATACAACTATGTTAGAGTTAATTTTGAGAGTGACAGCTCAAATTTCCTTAACACTTTGACATATAAACCCATATTATATGTGGTACCACTACTCTTTTTCTTCAGGAAACTGAAACTAGAGCTGAACAAAGTGAGATTCTTCAAATAATACCACCATTGTAAATGCCTCACAGAGAAAGAAGCAGTACAATATCTTTTTTCTTCTTGCTAAACCTTGAAAATTCTACATTCTATTTGCCAAATTGGGAACTAGCCTTTTTTGCAATTTTTTGGTACCTCTCTTCTTGTAAACAAAAAGTGATACTAACAGTGTGCACCTATATTTTTTAAATTCCAAAAGTCTCTTTTAATGAAACTTTTATAAGTAAGGAAAATATACTCACTCACTACATTTATGCAACACTAATTGTTCAGTGCGTATGTAACTTAGAAGATCAAGATACGGACAGACTGAATCTAATGTCCAATCTGAGCCACAAAGTTGTTCTGTTGAAAAATAGAAACAAAAATATCTCAAGAGGCAAACTGTACAAATGACTTAGGCTTTAAAAGGTTTCTTCATCCAAATACCTACCTTTCACATACTGAATGCCAATAGGGAGAGCCTTTTCAGGTTCTGTGCTTAACAGATAGTACTTTATAGCTTCGAATATATCCCCATCTGCCTGAACTGTCTCTGCCAATCGCATACACTCTTCTACATCAGGAAGATTACACTGGAAAACAAAGATTTTGCCAAAGAATTACTGTAATATTCAAAGGATTCTCTAAGATGCCAAGAAATACTGAAGTTTGTATATAACAATAAGATCAAACTCTCCCTGAAACAAGAGTCATTGTTTGATGGATGTACTTGCACATAGTGCACATTAAGAAAGCCATCTAGACCAGAGAACAACACAGGATGAGAAGGTTCTGTAATTTTTATTTAAGCATTCTCAGTTTCCGTTGCTAATGTTTTTGTGAACCTTTTGCTACTGCTTAATAGATGTGCAGTCTGAGTTGAACATTAAGGGAATTACTGGAGCAGACCCTTCTGCTGCTGAAGAGGAAAGGGGATTTAAGGACAGTGCAGACAAGATGTAAAATAATTCAGGATAGGACAGAAAGCTGATCTACCAAGACACAATTAGGCTGCACTTCAGTGATAAGGAGGTTATAAATCACACCGGCAGGTAATTCTGAAGATCACAAGCTACTTCAGGAAGTAACGTATCTCATGGAAAGACTATATACAGAGTTAAAGAACTAAGTTCTTCATGTGCAATATTGAATATAAAGTCAAAGAAGACTAAAAGAGCAAAAACCAATATGTAACATATAAGACTGTTAGTGACAAATTCATACTACAGATTTATTTGGCCTTAAATTTTCTGAATTTAGCAAACAATACATAATCTCTCGTTAGCATTCAGATAAATTCTTTTTCATTGTACCTTTGCATGCAGGTCATTTATTTCCGCTACGCATCCAGGATAAAAAGCACATAGTTTTATTAATTGCAGTTTATTATCAGGAATCATCATAAGAAGATCAGCTGCTAAATCCCTGCACAAACAGAAGATGACATGTAGTTACTCTTGCTGGTTTGAAATAAGAGGAAACTCTGTTTTCTCTTTAACAACAAAGAGTTTACTGAAAAAAATACTATTTCCAGAGAAGAGTAGAAGCAACCTCAGTCTCTAAGACTACTTTTGTGCAATAAATGAGGCTTAATCTATTCTTCCCCCCTCCCCCTTTTTGGAGGGGAAGAAAGTCATATATTAACTTTCTATTGCTTTAGCTGGCTGGATTAAACAGCTGTGCAATCCTCACGCATCAGAACCAACTCAATGTGAGATGGCAAAATACGTGAGCATGGATGAGAAGGGAGAGTAGGACCTATGCAATTTGAAAGAAGAGAAGTTGCTAATGCGGCTCTGTATTATGAAACCATCCTCAAACTTCCAGAGTTCCATGGCATCAGCAAAAAGCATCTCTCAGTCATCCAGAATGGCTAGTCCTTCTGTGACATTACAAAAGAGAGATTATACAAGAAAAGAATGCAGTATCTATTTTCATCTTTCTGAAAGGGAGACTGTTATTAAACTGGCATTTCTGAAATATTCTTAACATTTTACCATTTCTTACTCCCTAACAAAAAAAACCAAACAAGCAGCTGGAGGGAACATGTAAATATTAATAAATCATTTTGAAACACTTATTCTTTTGAGCTTTTAATAACATTATTCTGGTTGTTCTGTGTCTTTCTATTCATGCAGACATAATTCCTCCTGTGAGCGACAAGACTGACTTACTCCCGTGTAAGGCAAAAACTCCTTCTGAGTTTCCCTGGATTTTCACAGTGCGGTGAAAAAATGTCTGAGTGAGCTACTGTCCAATATTTGCAACTGTTTTCCACCCCACTTTCAAGTATTGATCACAATTTAAAAATTAGAACGCTTATTTTAAGCTTATTTTTAGCAATAGTAAAAGCACACACTTTTCAAATTACTCATTCTATAAATCAGCAAAATACCTGTATCCAAGTGATGGAAAGCTAGAAGGAAGACATTAAAACAGTAATGAACAAAACTTTGTTTTGTATTCATACTTTACAGAGGAAAAAATTAATAGAAAATAATTAAACTACAATTGAAGAGTCAGGTTAATCAACTTTGTCTAACAACAACAACAACATTTTTCCAATGCCTTTGACAACCTAAAGAAGCTAATGCCAAAAGGTGTTTGGAAAATCTTTTATACTATTATCATGCAATAGCCACTTTTCCAAGATACAGAAAGGCTCATTCAGAATACAGCACTTTTCAGAAGTTCTTAAAGTATTTTCAAGATTAGTTACTCACATGTAGTCATCTTCATAGGCAATTTAAACATTTTTTTAAGTGATTAGAAATTGCTCAGCCAAAAAACTGAAATAAAATGTTTATTTTAAAAAGTCCAAAGAAGTTCTCATATAATAGCCTACAAATTGTGTTACCTGGAATGCTTTTTTTAAGAATCAAACTGAAAACACTGTGCGTATAAAGAACAAAATTCAGTGGTTTAGCCTGCATATGCAGTACTCAGTATCTCAAGTAAAATACTACTAGCCTTCTGAATAGCAGAAGGTTGCTTTTAACAATATTTAGGTGCTAAATGCAAATAAAATGAAAATTGTGTTCTTAAAAGACATTTTCCCAGTGCTGCAGCTTTGGAAAGATGGGGAAGGGAACGAATGTTTAGTTTTGACTTTTTTATTTGGATTTTATATTTTAGAGCACTTCTTTAAAAAGAAAAACCACAAAACAAACAAACAAAAATCACACAACCAAAACCCCCAAAATATTCCACCAGCAACTGATATCCTTACTAATCCATCAAGGTCCTTTGGGCATTCCTTAAGGTGTCTACAATTAAGTGTGTCTCTACAAGAATGAACTGTTTCCAATTGATGGATATGCCTAAGCATAACAACCAGTGAAAACTAAAAGGGACCCTTCAAATATCAGATGCCCTTGAACTCCAGCTTCCCCATACATGAACCCCATACATGCAGTGGACCACGGAGTATTACGCTGTGCCAGTATCTCTATCACAAGGTAAGAAGAGAGTCAGGAATCTCTGATTTTTTGTTACAGAACAGCAAAATATTCCACAATGACTGCAAAAAAAATAAATCCAGGATTGCAAGGCGTAGCTGTAATAGGTGTTCAGTATAGCATATGAAACTCACTGACAAATCCAGATGTATACTTGGGCAATGTGCAGTAAACCAATTTCAAATTTTATCATGTATACCTGTGTAGACTTCAGTGTACACATACAGTGTACACAGTGTCATAAATTTGCAGAAGTTTTATGTACATACACTTAAATGCTGTACTGTTATAAATACTTATTACAGCACTGAGATCAAAACAAGCTTTAGTTATAGAACTAGAAAAAAATATACACTATTTTTCTTAACTCCACATCCAGTGCTTCCTATCAGAGGCTACATAAAAATCAGTCTTCACAGTGAAGGCAGGGAGATCAGAGAAAGTGTTTCAGAGATTTCAAAAGGTGCAGATGGAGCTGCCAAAACAACCCTGTTAGAATTGGTGCAATGCAGACATGCTAAATCATTGCAGAACCAAAGCAGCAAGTCATTAATTTCTTATTTTATCGTTTTCTACAATGCTTCATTGTCTAAGGCAGATTAAATGCTCTGTAGAGAGAAGTTCCACTATGTTTCTTTCAGACTACCTCTAGATGCTTAAGGAAATACCAACTGTAGCAGAAAAAGTGATGTTTAATTGCAATATCTGCTTAAGTACAAGTTTCTATGAAATGTTAATTTCAAAACACCTGTACAGCTACCAAATATACCTTAGGATTATTTTTTGCTTTTCATTGGCAGACAAAAAAAAGACACAAAAAAAGAAGATACAAAACTGTATCCTTCAAAGTAAAACCACTAAAAGGAGGAAAAGAAAATGTAGCAGACATAAAGTTTGCCCTTCATGCAACGGAGAAATTACCTATTCCTCCAGAATTAAAAAATAACCTTGTTTCATCCTTAAATCTTGTCGTCTGTCTTGTGTTCCCAATACCAATACAGAATAATTCCTCAGCCTATTAGGTTTTAATATTTTTCAATCAAGTACTTAAAAATCACTTCATAGATCCTACTTAAGCTTCTGTTCCTTTTGACTTTATAATTCAATTCTACACTCCCTTTTCTGAAGCAGTCATTTTTACTCAGTATTGACTAGGATTTACTATGCTACCTATTGCTCAAGTATCTGGTTTTTTCAGCAGGTTTCATAGTCTGTTTGACAATGAATCTTGTCTCGTATGCAATGCATACATAATGTATTTTGAGATTAAAGCAGAACATTTGCATTCCTTGCACTTCAAAAGTCCAATACAGCAATTCTTATTCAAGCAGCAATTCTTATTCTATCCGTCCATGGTGGTTTGGTGTCTATAAAAGCTTCAGAATGAAACACCTTAATCATTTTGTCAGAGGGGAAAAAAAGAACAAAAAAATCTTCTTTGGATTAAGAAATTCTTACCATGTTGTTACTGTCATACATTTTCTTGCTAGTAATTCTAGGGCATAATGTGTTGCTTGTGCTGCACTTTCTCCTAAGACAGCACCCACACTGATTGCCAACTCCAGTTCATTTCCACGAATCAGGTTTGCCATCGCAAGCTTGCTCAATGAAAAAATTATATCATTAAGGGACACAAGCATTTTTGGGGATTCACCATATTGAGCATATGACATTCATTTATGAGACTGCTTATGAGACAAAATATGCATCAATTAAAGCAACTTTATATATAATTTGAGTCTCTTGAATGAGTCAGTAATTGTGCACCATGTGTTAAAGCAGCTTTTAAATAACTAAACAGATTTGCTTTAGCAGAATCTTCCTTTATTTAATCAAAAAGATTACAAATACATAAAAACTATGATAGCAATTCCTTCTTCTATTAAATAAGGACACTTACTTTTAGAGTATGTATTTTGCCTCTGTTTTGATGAAAGGGGTCTCAAAAGAAAAAAAAATCAGAAAGGACTCCCCTGTTCTTACCCTCTCTGAGCAACAGGAGTTGCTGGTAGGCATAGCAGAATATTAAACATAAGAGACTATGTGACTTGAAACATGTCTATGTTGAAATACAGGCATTAACTGATTATTGCTTTCTCTCTTAAACATCTCATTAGGATGGCATTTTACTAATTTTGAGGGATAGGAGGAAGAACATGTTGGGTCAGCAACAACAAAATTCAGAGAGAATGAGGAAAAGAAACAATCTGTAAACCTACAAACAATGAAAAATCTAATAAAATGTTTCTTACATGTCAGCCCTATTTTTGTGCTGAGGAGTAGGGTTTTTTCCCCTATTTACTTCACCATCTAGGCTGCAAATTCTTCAAGGTAAAGATTGTATATTTTATAGCTCACTGAAGTTCCAGTTCTGAATGGGTCTTTTGAGTCACCATGAACAGTAAACAGCAATATTTATGTAAGTATATATGTAAGGTACTCAGGTACCTTATATTTTCTGATACAACAAGACACTGTATATTTAAAAATACAATTAAATAATCACATACTAGTTTCTGTGCATGAGAGATATCTTGAATTTAATAGAATCAGGAAAGTTTTGCTACTAACTTCAATATTGTAAGGATCAAACTCTACATAAATATATACAAAGCAAATACCAACCACAAGCAATACATTTTAGAATGTGGTACATACATTTAAAAAAACCAGTTAAGACAAAAAGGAAGTCAATGTTGGCCTTTCCATAGTTAAACAGAAAAAAAAAATTACCTCTACATTTTCAACAGCCAGATGGCAACATGCTGCAAGCACTGCATGGCCATCCTGGAAATACCATTCTGCCAGTTCTTTACTGACCTCGTGCAGGAGCCTGCAAGAACAGAAGATGAATTCAGCAGGGTCACTTACAGGTTGGAATTCTTTGGCTCTTTATTTATATACAAGTCAGCACATTTGCTTCTGTTCCCTAAAAATACTGTATTTCACTTACAGATAACGACACCACTAGTTTTCAAAATGCAGTTTGAGCTTCATTCACTACTTATGTTGGTGCACATTCAGGTGAATCAGATTCTCAAAAGCTACATCAGTACAGAAATGCCTCTTCAGATTGACAGAATAAAAAACAAATATTTGGATATTAATTCTCTACCTGTGAACTCTGTATAAATATCTAACTGCTAAAAATCTTGCATCTGTAAATTAACTACACAGACTCCAAGCTGCTTTTGTTACTACACTTACAAATTGATAATGAGAGTTCGGCTTTTGAGCACTGTTCTAAACAAGGAGAGATGCATGGTTTCTTTTATGGGCACACACAGTGAAAATACAGCCATTAGTGTACATTGTCAGAAACTTCACTGATGATAAACAGTGAAGCTTCAGGAGAAGAAGATGCACATAACAGATACTTGTTAATGCTAAATCTTCCTCTACTTACTAAAAGTTCTAAGTTAATATGCTACATATTTAAACATATTTAAGTGCATAGAAATGCACCTTAAAGATCAAGCAAATGAAAAGGATATTTTTAATTATAACACATACATACGAAAAATCCATTTGGTGCTAGGAGGAGGCACAACAGGGGAATTATTCAGTGTAGCATTAGTTAGTAACTATCCACTAAGTACTAGAAGATTTAATACTTTGTTGTCGAGTTCTACATTGTTGATGACAAACTAAACCACTAAGGTTTATCTCCCTTGACAACTTTACAATCTGCACCAAAATGAAGCTTTAGATATAAACTAGAACAACTTACTCATTATAATCATCTGTATTGTTTCCACCAGAACTTGAAGATGCACTTGTTGAGGAGAGTGGTGACATTTGTATATTTCCCTCACAAGCTGCCTAGAAGTGAAGAAAAAGAAAAAGGATTAATGCACCAACCAAACTGATTATGAAATGTGATTTTTCAACCATAAAAAAAATCTAAGATCTATAAAAAAGAGTTAAGCCCAGTTATAAAAAACAAAATATGTAAACAATGAACTTACTCAGATAAATCTTAGCCCTAGTTTTAGCCAGTCATACAAGAAGTTCTACAGAAGCAAGAGACCTCTTCCTTCCCATGAATTTGTATAGGATTTTCCTAAAATTTGAATATGCTTAAAATGGACAGTGAAGACTACAACTTTGATTTTTACACCCCTAGGAATGAGTGGCTGTGAGTGAAGGATGAACTCCATAGATACTTCCTAGTAGGTATACCAGCAAATCTGGAAAGGTTTATATAGTGGCATAAGCCGAACCTTTTTCGTGTCTGGTGATAAGTTATTTCTAACATTAAATAAGAAGAGATCAGTGTAGGTTAAAAGGAAATTCTTTCATGTGCTTTTAGTTGCAGCTAACAGCATTGAAACTCAGCCCAGTTAAAAGTGAAAAAGCCTTAATTGCTTAATATTATCTTATTAAACCTTTGAGACAAAGACTATTCTATGAATTGTAAGAAAAGCAACCCTTACAACATCTCTTACATGAAAAATGAAGACCATTCTAAAGCTTTAAGGTGCTTTAAGGTTCAAACATTGTAACTTGTTAAAACTAAGCATACCTCTAAGCTCTATTCTGTGCACTATTCAGCTATTAAAAGAACACACAGCTAGACAATTTCTAAAGGACAAATTCCCATGCATTATTAAAGTTCTTATCTTTGAGGCAACCGAATGTTCAAGTAGAGGTAGGCATGAGAGAATGTACTAGGGACAAATCTTGACAGTTTATTTAATAAACTATATTAACTAGGCAGAAATTACTCAAAAAGAATGAAGGAATGGTGAGAAAGAGTGAAACAACGTATCAGTCTCGCATGTTTTGTGCACCCTTTAACTTGTTTTTATATTAGGAAGTAGAAGGGACATACATACTTGTGGCAATTTCATGTACTATTTTTTGCATTCATTTAAAAGTTTGATTTTCTATATTGATTACTACTGCAGTTGAGCAGCTTCACCCAAAGATTCTACAGGAAGTAGTATAACCAAGACCTCATCAGAAAAGGAAGAGAAATCCTATGTGTCTTAGATTTGAAGGGCAATACTGAGTGCTGAAAATCAGGTTAACTTTCTACTTCCACCAAGAATGAATGCATCAGTTTTCATTATGGGTATTTGATTGCAACTTAGAAGAATTAGGCTTAAAATCTGTAAGCATGAGATACCTTTTTATCACATTTGTGTAAAAACTGGGCAATAGCAAACAAAAGTAAAGAGTAGGATATAATTATTTAGCCATTTTGGAAAAAGTGAACAAAGCTAGCCTTTTAAATATGCTTGTCATCTTCAGAGTTAGAAATAGATAGCTAAATGTATCTCCCACACTGTTATACGTAATAATACCTGTGCAACAAGCAGAGCCTCTTTAAGCTGGCCTCTTGAAATAAAGAAAAAAACTAATTTCTTCACATCTCCGACAGCTATACAATATGGGATGACATCATCATTTTCTTCCTGAATTAACTGATCAGCTCTCCTAATTAAAAAAAACAAAAAAAGAAAGATCTACATATATAATTGATCATTAAACTTATTTCTATGTTACAGGTGTTAGATGAAGCCATATAAAGTTCACTGAAACACATCTGCCTTTCCAGACCTCAAAAGACTTCGAAACTGTGGATACCACACTAAAGAGTTTCCAGTTAAACTTGCAATTTTTGCTCAACTCTCTAACTTGATTCCTGTGCACAGAATCATTGTTGAAGACCCAAACACTTCCATCCCAGTGCTCACCAAACAACAAGTAACATCACTAGAAGGCTGTAACAAAAGCCGGGTACAACTGCTATTAGTATCCATCGTCCCTACTTGTCTGTGTTCTTTTATGGACAGAACTTACAATTCAGCATCATATATTTATTACCTTACCTTTGCATTAACTTCTTCCAATATTTCATCGATACACCAGGTGCAACTGAGAGTGCTTTGTCCCACTAGAAGAAAGCAGCAATGTATTTATCCTGATCATTTTATTTTGAGAAACACCTGTACGTTTACTATTTTCATATTGCATTAAAAAAAATTGTCACAAGGTTAAATAAAGAAATGAGCTATGCATTAGAATGGATATGTGAAAAATATAATGGGAGCAAGATAACTCTTTTCTGGACTTATGACCCATTTTGTGGCTATCACATATTTGCTAGGGTAGCTGGTTTTCAGAAACCTTTATATTTTATTGTTCTTCAAGAATTTTCTGATATTTTACCTCTCCAAGTTCTACCATTAGTTCACAATACCGCTGAATTTGTCCTAATCTTAAATGTATTTCTGCAGCTTCTTTCAGCCTCTCCTCTTTGCTTGGTGCACCAATACCACCTCCAAACTTGGACATTTTTACTGTTGTCAGTTCTTGTGCCTTGGACTGAGGGGGAGGAAAAAAAGTAAAAAAAAAAAGTAAAAAGAAAGGTAGTCTTCTGTGATGAATACAAATTTTCTTAACAATGAACTACAGTCAAATATTACAATAGAAAATAAAGGCTATCATTTAAGAAAAATCCTTTTTAAAAAAGACGAATTGGAAGAGATTGCAATGAGATTACAGTGAACTAATCAGAAGAGCTTACAATAAGATTACGGAGAACTATTTATATTGTTCAAGTAACTGTGTTAGTGTTTTGTGGCACACATACATTTTCCTCAATTATCTTCCTTTTATCTTTTTAATATTTTTTTCATTCTGTACTATTTTCTCATATGTAATTGTAAAACCTAGATGACCATCATAAAAATTTTGGTACCTTTTAAATTTCAAAAAAATATTTGTGAATAAACCACATAAACCACACAGAGCCAGTATTATTTGCACTTATTACTGTTACAATGATGTCCAGATAAAGAAAGAATAAATAGAGTAGGCTCAACCTGTGTCCTGATCTGTCATACCCCATTAACCACATGACCAATAAATGATTCTTATTCTCAATATAAATTCAATTAGTTGAAGAAATAAGTCTAAACTTCTCCATCTGTCAGAGTTCAGATCATGGCAACATGACGACATTTAACAAAAAAAAATGCAAAAGGAGCTTCATTTCACATTTCAAGAATTCTCAGTTTAAAACTCTATCATCAATGCATATGAGACAGTGTTTGGTTATTCACGGCTTTACAATACCACATGATGGAGAACAAACTTGCAACATCCTTCACCAAAGTAAACTGACATGTAGATCAATAGCAGCTGCTGAGAAAGGCAAAGAATCTGTTTTTTTAAAACAAAACATGTTACTTTTTTACTTGGCATCTCTATGTTATCATTTTCATGTTAAAGTCTCCTCTCTGGTTGCTAGAAACAGAAAAATACATTTGCTCTAGGTCCTTACTTCATCCTGAAATGTTTAGATGCTGCAATGCCATTATTGTTTCCTAAGGAAAAAATGACATTAGCAGCCATACACAATCAGCATTCCCCTACCCCTACTTTCTCCTAAAGCTCTCAAGCAAGATTCTGAGTCAGCAAAAAGAGGATAAAATGCTTTTAATTCATGTGAACACTTAATCCAGATCCACAGAATGATCACCAATTACTGCAGTTACTGTAGTTAGGTTACCTGAGTTATAAATGCATGGAATCATGTTGCAAGGAGAAACAGACTTGGGTTGCTCTGCATGAGTCAAGAATTAATTTCTTCTTCTCAGGCTAACTGGCTGAAAAAATCAGGTTTTGAACACACAGACTCACACTGCTCAAGCTTCGCGGTATTAGCAGAGCAGCTGCTATTATTACAGTTAACATCACCAATAAAAAACTCGAATCACATAAGAGTCATAAGGTACGTATGATACTCTCTCTGAGTCTGTGATTTTGCAAAAGAGACAGCCTGCAACAGCAAACCTGGTGTTGCCTGGCAGGTATTTAGCCCTAGGGGTGGCAGAATCACAGAATCACAGAACGTTAGG